GTACTCGAACCCCACAGTTTCTCCATGAACCGTCCAGTGACACTGCCTACAGTCTTCAAGTTGTATGGTCATTCTCACCCTCCTTCACCAAATTCTTCCTCTCCCCTTAACATAAACTCACTGTCCCCAAGGTTCCCATCTCGGCTTACGAGTTGCTGTTGTCGATTTGATCCCACGTAAATAGTTCTTCAAATAGCACAGTGCTCAGAGCAGACATTCTTTACTCATTCTTTAAGCTCAACTACTGTATTTTTGCAACCACATAAATAATGTGCACACCCATATAACACACACAACATGCATGGGAAGCTAATGTGCAAATGTGTGGTGCAGGGCAGTAAATTACATGGTATGGCTTTTCCAGCCATAGTCTTTGTAACTGCCACTGGATTACCGGGTGAGACCATGCAATTTAAACTTTGGATTGTTAAAGTCATCCACCCGGAGTATTTCTGTTGGAGCAGCAGGAAGTACTCTTCTGGGAAACTTTGCTCTGTCTCAGGTGTATAGAACTCTGATGTTGGGATTGGTGGGTTTTTCCACTCTGCTAGGCTCAGAAGGAGCCCTCCTAGAGGCAGAAACAATCTGACTGCCAGCTGAGAGAGACATGCTGCTGAGAGAGAGACACACTGCTGAGACAGAGATAGGCTGCTGAGAGAGACGCCCCACAAAGAGATGGCAGCAGTGGAACCAAGAGGCACGAGACAGAGCGGCAGGCTTACCTGGCCCAGAGAGGCAGAGGCCAAGGGTCAGAGAGCCGTGTCTAAGGGCACAGCAGAGGGGAGACTGTCCTGATCGAAGAACCGTATCCTGGGCATGTTCCTGAACTTGAACTGTAGCCTGTTGAATCCCTAACAAACTCCATAATCTGAGAGTTGTGTGTGGCCACTGCAGCAGATTACTGAACCCAGCAGAGAGGTGGTGGGTGCCACGAGAGGGACGGCTGGTGTCAAGTTTTAGTAAGAGGGTTGGAGGGTGGCAGCATGTCTGACCTCCAGAGAACAGGCCATGGGCTGCTGATGGCGATTCTGTCTCCCTCTTGTGGAGTTAGAGGAGGTCAGAAGATGCCTCCTCCCAGCCCTTTTAGCAAGTGGTTTGCAAAAAGCTTGTAATGTGTGTATGTTTATGTAAAACAGTTTTGTTTGGTTTTAACAAGACTTAGGGGATATTTTTGGAAGTTCACCCAGCTTCCATGGCTCCAGAAATTTGGAGTCTAAAGAATTTGAAATTATGTTCTACATCCCCCGCCTTTTGATCAGATTCTTCTATAGAATCTTGGAGCAAAGTGCTCAGTAATGGTAGCTGGGCACCATCCAGTTTGTCTGGTCTCATGGGGGAAGCAGTTGTTCATGGAGGCATAAGCCATACCTTCCCTTACGTCCTCTTCCTGACTCTCCTTCCTCTGTGGCTCCAGGTGAAGAGAGACCAATGATTAACCCTGAGTAGTAGCAAGAAACTATAAACAAGCCACTGCTGAGGAACAGAGCCTACAGACGAGCCCCACGTGGACTGGCCTACCACCGTGGGGACGACGGCACCGTGGGGACGACGGCACCGTGATGATGTGTGCACATCACTCAGTTTGTCAACAGGCAGGGGAGGACAAGCAGACCTAGCTCTACAATGCCGCAGGGAACCTGGGACAGACAGACCTGCCCAGAGGCATCCTCCGCATTGCAGCCAGGCCCACGGAGCCCGGGTCAGAGGCCGGAATCCCTGCTGAGCCCTCCCCACAGCTCATGGAGGATGTTGGCTGGCACCGAGCACTAGACTTTTCTAGAAGGCTGCCTTGCTGAAAAAGCAGCAGGGGCTCACACTGTCCTCTCTGAGAGTGTAATTTACCCAGGGTGGAGTCTTTCGCTTGGGTTTAGATTCTGTTCAGACCTACTGTTTGGGAGGCAAACCTTCACTGATTTCACCCTGCAGAGGCAGGCTTTAAATTGTGGCAACGGTTGGTGTGCAAACCTTCAGAAGTGGGTGTTTACTGGGGACCAGCAGAGAGCCACCACACAGCCTTGAAGGCAGTGGGAACCAATGTCCCTGTCTCGTGGTCAGGGGCCTGCACCCACTCAGGACCAGCCAACCCTTCCCTGGTACCCTCTCACACCCAGGGACTGTCAGGAGCCAATGCCTCACAGAGCCCCAAGGAGACAGCCAGTTCGGTATGACCCTGCCCAGAACATCTGTGATGACAAACGTGGTATGCCCTATTGAGGCCTGGTCTGTGCACCTACGGGCTCCCCGTGCCAGGGTCCCCACGGGCATGAGGACAGAGATGAGGAGGGAGAGACACAGTCCCTGCCTGCCCTGGTGAGCAGGGCCACAATGCACTGAGGCTCCGTGACACACAGACTCCAGCCTCCTCCTCGAGCCCACCCACTGTGCCCACCTCACCCGTCACCCCTCTGCTCCCTGCGGCCCGTCTGGACAGAGCTGCTCGCAGTAAGTCACCCTCACCTCCTTTCAGCCTCTCCCTGTACCCACACTCCTCCCACGGACTGGCAGCTTGAGGATCTGGGGTCCACTTGCCAACGCAACAGCCATATCTCTCCTCGTCTCCTCTCAACAGCTCTGCCCACACGGGGCACCTGGGCCTCGCCTGGTGGCTCCTTCCCTGGGAAGCTCTAGCTGACGGGTCCCCTCCTCAGGGGCCCACCCTGACTACCTGGGCCGGGTGCCCCCGCCCTCACGGCCACATCGCTCCGCCTGACCCTCCACCTGTACCGCCTGTGAGCTGGCTCCCCACCCACCTCTCCTGGTTAGAACCCAAGCCCTGGACGGCAGGGTACTAATGCTGTTCAGCACACGCTGTGCACGGACCGGGTCCTGCAACGGACAGGCAGCCCCTGGGATGAGCGTGGAGGCGACACAGGAACCAGCGGGAGTCTGGCAAACGCCCAGGGACTCAAGCTGCAAACAGGGCAAGATGCAGTGTGTGACGGTGTGTGAGTGTGAGCACGTGTGTATGTGAGTGCATGTGTGTGTGAGAATGCTGTGACTGTGTGTGAGCAACTGAGTGTGTGTGTGTGTCAAGGGCCACACTCTGCCTCCCTGTGTAATCCCCTTGTGGCACCCTCACCAGACAGTTTGGATGGAAGTGGCTACGGGAAGGCATGGAGAAGCCACTTTGGGTACCACGGAGGGAAAGGCAATACACACAGTGGGGAAAGTCAGCACACCGTGGCCAAGAAAAATGAGGATGTGGGGAGAACAGGTCATGAGAGTAAGGCGGGGCGGGAAGGTGAACGGGACTACAGCCCTGAGCATCTGTGTGGGCTTGACAGGCGCTCTGTCTCCCCTCGAAACCATCCTCATCATAACCAAACACCTACAGGCAGTGGAGTCATGGGGCCAGGAGGCTCGGGACCCTGCTTGACAGGCAACAACAGCTCCCAAAGACAGTGTTCCACATCCTGCCATGGTCGGCAGCAACTGGGTCTCAAAAGCTTGTGAACAGCCACCAGAGGTGCAACTATTGGTCTGTTCCCATTCAGAGCAAAGAAGAGAGAAGAAAATCAACAACACAGGAAACAATTAGTGCAAAGGAATCGGGGGCCATGGCAACCCCAGCCCCCTAAAGCTGGGACAGGCGGGGAGCAGTCCTGCCTCAGAGCTGCACTCGGCACGGCCCACACCCTGATGTGGTCTTCCGGCCTCCAGCACTGAGGCCATAAATCTGTGAAACCACCTCCATCTTAGTACTTCATCATGGCGGCCCTGGGAGCGGAAGACGCCATCTGCTCCCCGTGCTCAGAATGACACTGACATACTGTAAAACATCAAGGAATACTGGGTGACTTGAGGAATAAAATAAACCGACTAATAATATATAATTACAAAACAAGAAGCTCTATCAAGGATGGGAACAAAATGCTAAAGAACAGCAACTACGATGTGGCTGTGCGGGCTGGGAAGTACCGAGTACAGTGAACAGTGACCGGATGCCGGCAGCCCGGGTCCAGAGTGAAGGGGCAGGGGCGGACCAGAGGGCAGGGAAGAGCTGGGCCAGAAGCGACCGGGAGGAGGTACCCGGAGCTGTCTGCGGTGCCTCTGGTTACCTCGAAACGGAGCCCCCCCAGTTGTCACCGACAACATGATGGGCGTCACGGGAAGGATTCCTAACAGTGCCTGGCGGCACCGTCCTGCATTAGGGACATATGACTGTGAGCATGGCTTGCCAGCCCCTGACATCACCATGCCAACCTCAGGGTAGAGCCTCCCCTCACTACGCCCTGGAACAAGCCTGCCCTTGTCTCACTCTGCCCCAATTAAAACATTGCCGCCCAGAAGGAGGCATTTAGAGCAGCTCAGGGGCAAGGGTGAGGGAACCAGGTGTGTCTCTCCAATTAAAATTATGACTCGCTGTGGAAAAGAGGGTGGAACGAGGATTTCCAAAAAGGAGGACGGAGGGCAGCGGGCACGGTGGGCTGCTGGGTCTTGTCCCAGAGCTCAAAGTGACACGGCACGATTCCCATCCGACTGCTTGCAGGAGGGACACTCCTACCTGTGGCCAGGTACATGACGTGGAACAGCCGGTCTCTGCCCTGCACCACATCCACGACCACGTGGGACAAGCGGCTGTTGTCCTCCATGAAGGCGGGCACCGGGGTCACAGGCTGCACCACCTCGTGCATCAGGATGAACTTCTGGGCATCTTGCAGGTTCCTCTCGGTCAGGTTCACGTACAGGCCCTGGTCCACGGTGCCACACTGCAAGGGGAGACACACAGGGTCACGGACTCACACGCCACGCACGGCCAGCCCAGCCAGAGGACAGCCAGACACTGAGCAGTCCATGCACATACTGAAGTGGCAGGAGGTGGCCTCCACTGTCCCCAAGTCCCCAGCCCGGGAGACGCTCTCAACTCAGATCTGAATCTATCCTACTTGGAGAGTCTTCCAACTCATCCTAAAGAAAACGACCATTAGGGACAAAATGTACAGACAGTGGGAGTCACGGCTGCCTTTGCTTTCAACAAACAGCACACCCACGGGGGCCCTGGGCTGATGTTAAGTCACTGGCAGCTGTCTGTGGAGTGCTCATTGTAAGTGGCTGGGGGCCGTCCCTGTAGTGCCCACTGGTTGTCTGTCTGATGATTCAGGGACCCAGATGGAAGTACGGCAATCGGGAAGGCTTTACGGATGGGTCACATTTTCTGTAGGATCCACAGGCTTCTAAGCAATCCATGGAGCCTGTGGAGAAAGCTACTGCCATTCTGACCTAGAATGCATGGATGAAACATCGCAGGAACTGGATTATACGTTGTAGCAATGTCACTCGGATGGATCGTAGACAAGTCTGCTGGCCCGCTGGTGCACGGACTCCACATTCCACAAACTATGACGCACAGTTAGTCTGTACATCTGAGAACGGACATGGCAAGACAAGAGGGCAAGAGAGAGGGAAGGGAGAGAAAGAAGAGCAGACAAGACGCACAGGAGAAGGCGGGAAAGGAGGGAGGGGGAGGTTCCCCGACAGAGGACACACCAGGAATGGGAATGTGGAACACGGACGAAGTCAGGCTGCAGCCAGCTGAGGACACACGCCGCTGTGCCGGGCGAGGCCACGGGCTTCCTGGACAGGGGTCTGGGGCAAGCAGGCTAGACCAAGGTGGAGGGCAGACAGGAAAGCTTCGTCGTGGAGACAACAGACTCAGCCCACCCCAGCCACCTCCCCACTTCTTCTCCAAGCTTCCCACCTTGCTGCAAACAATGACAGACGTTCAGTGGAACTTCCTCAGAGCAGGGACTGTGGGACAGAATTCCCTGACCACACTGGCTAGAAGCACCAGTCTCAATGGATCATTTCTGATATTTGGTTCCATAATAGGGCAGACATGTACAAGGAAACTACTCTTGTAAAGACATGATGTTTTTGTAATGCTTGGGAAAATGCCCGACGTGTTGTAAAATGGCTGGTTGGCTGTAGAACTGGGGCATCTTGGAGGTTAACACTACAGGCCCGTCACGTGCTTGCAGGGGCATCTGTGGCCCATCCTGCATGACATCAGGTGCAGGCTGCCACGTCAGCTCATGCCCTGGGAGGCAGGTGGCCCTGAGGTGCTGTCTCTCAGCCTCCGTCACTGCACCTGGGAAATGACAGTGCACATACTCGGCTTATGTGTTGGACTGAGGGTGACCACGGGGACCATCAGAGAGAGCGGCTGTAAGTGACCAGTGGTCCTCATGCACACCAAGGGCCAAGAGGATGCACCTGACACAGGCAAGCCCCATGGCAATGGCTGGTGCTCCATCTACAGGGAACACACCTAGAACAGGTAAGCCCCACAGCAAGGTGCCCAGTCTGCAGAGAACGCACCTGGGGCGCTGTGAGTCAGAATCAACTCCACGGCAGTGGGTGTGGTTTGGGCTTTGCTTCTGTGAAGATTGACAGCCTTGGAGACCCTGTGGGCAGTTTCACTCTGTCCTCTAGGGGCGCTGTGGGTCAGAATGGACTCCAGGCAGTGGGTGTGGTTTGGGCTTTGCTTCTGTGAA